CTGCCCTGCAACATACATAGGACAAAGGAATAGGAGAATAAATGCACGCATAGCAGAACACAAGAACACAATAAGAAAAAAAGAAAGAACTTTCTCCCTTTTCCAGCACCTTAAAGCTACAGGACATGAAATTAATTTTGAAGGAATCAAATTAATCTCCAAAACAGAACACTTCAACGAGAGAGAGAGAGAGAGAGAGAGAGAGAGAGAGAGAGAGAGAGAGAGAGAGATTTCACCAGAGAAGATTGTGACTGGGCAATTAGTATTTGACCACTATTGAGCTGAAGTGCTATCCATACATATGAAAACCATGTTTGTACATGATAGCAAAAAAACAGGAGTTGGATAGCACCTTTTCTAACTAATAAATGTCCTAAAAGTCACATTTGATATGCTGCAGCTCATTCATCAGCTGCACAAACCAGCTTGACTGGTCTAGGATTTAAATTGAGGTGGGGTGGGGAAGAGAATGACAGAATGGTAATACAGATGCAGGTTACACGTGTAACAGACTACAAATATCTTATCTATTGCAATGTGTTATGACCCATTATGTTCCTTGAGACAGTTGTTTGCTATATGTGAGTTCAATTGGCAGGAATGATAGCTTTCTTTTTAAGCGGCGATACCACAAATTGAATTTGAGATCTTTTCTATAGAAAGCAAAACACACTGCAATTAATTTTTAGTCTTCTACTAAGGAGAAAGGACACCAGCAAAAAAATTTCTGAACTGAAATTATCTAGATTGCAAGCTCCTATAAAGATTTCAGAGCAACATAACATCAAGAGATGTTAGATACTCAGAATGCCCATTCATAGTTCAAAAACATCTGGAAAATACCAAGTTTTGAAAGATTGCTTCCCCTAAGATTTAGTTTATTTGTATGATTAAGATTTAGTTTATTTGTATGCTGCCCTTCTCCGGGAGGGACTCAGGGCGGCGAACAACTCAAAAAGCCCCTACACTGGAAGCCGATCTGTGATTTGCCTTTGCATGACAAGATTACTCCTTTTTTTAAGAAGTATTAAAAATGGCACATCAAGAATTAGCCACCTCAGCAGATAATTGTTCTTTATTCTATCATTTTCATGTATTATTCTTAGAGTTCCCAAAACATTTTGTGCTATTGGGAAATTATATATTTTCAATGGACCAGGTATTGTCATATATGAGGGGTGTCAAACTTGATTTCATTGAGGGCTGCACCAGGATTGTGTTTGACCACAGGGGGGCTGGGGTGGGCATGGCTGTGATGAGTGTGGCCAGCTCAACTTCACTCGTATCAGGGTGCCTGTGGTGGCACTCTGCCAGTGAAAACGGGCTCCTGAGCTCTGTTTTCGGCTGCAACAGCTTCCTTTGCCAGTGAAAATGGAGCTTGCAAGGGCTGCACATAGTCCTCCCGAGCTCCGTTTTCACTGGCAGAGGCACCACCGGCTGGTCCATCATTGTTTCCAGGGCGACCCCACAGGCCAGATCTAAGCACCCCGCAGGCTGGATCCAGCCCCTGGGCCTTGAGTTTGACACTCCTGTCATATATCCATATCTATAATCTTCTACTCAATAAGGCCCTCCATAACTGGCCACTTACTGCGAATCTCAGCTGTAGCATACTTTGGAATCATGGAGTCTGTGGTGAGTTCTGGATGAAGAATACATCCATGAGTGTAGGCATCCATGGGTAAGGAATCTAGGATTTCTCTATACTGCATTACTCGTGAATGAAGGAGGCTTCCGTTCTCAGGAACTAGCTGGATGACGTGCTCTGCAAAATAAGAAACAGTCAAGTTAAAGCAGACTTTAGTTGTATATACAATGCTTTTATCTGATGTTTCTTTTTCTACAAAGCTAACTTCTTATAAACAACTTACTTATTGCAAATAAGTGCCTATTTATGGACTCAGATTTAAAGGGTAATTTTGCCTCTCGGATTTGAAATATCAAGGAAATCCCCAGAATTTTACCAAAATTAGCACAAAATTGTTATTTAGCAGTAAGTTATAACCCCAGCAACTAAATATGTATAGTTGAATGACAATTGATAGCAAAAAATGCAAGGGTTTTTCTCTTGTAACGATAACCTAAAGTGATTTTTTAATCTTTAGCTAAGACCTTTGTTTTCTTTTCAAACTTCCTGCATCAGCTGCATTTGACATGGCATTGAATAATGGCAGTTCTGTCTTATACTGCTGGGTCCTGCGTTTGTAGGGAAGAATAAATTGGAAAGACTGAATTTAATTTGTAAAGTAATTCTAACTATAGGAATTCAGCAACAGAGTGGTCAACGCCTGGAATGCTCTACCTGACTCTGTTGTTACATCCTCTAACCCTCACAGCTTCAACCTTAAACTGTCTACTGTGGACCTCACCCAGGGGTGAAATTTAGCAGGTTCTGACAAGTTCTGTAGAACATGAGTGGAAATTTTGAGTAGTTCGGACAACCGGCAAATACTACCTCTGGCTGGCCCCAGAGTGGGGTGGGAATGGAGATTTTGCAGTATCCTTCCCCTGCCACGCCCACCTAGCCACGCCCATAGAACTCGTAGTAAAAAAAATGAATTTCATCACTGACCTCATCCCATTCCTAAGAGGTCCTTAAGGGGCCGTACATAAGCACACTCGCATGCTTACCGTCCTTGTCCTTGTCCACATTTATTTATTTATTTTGTTCATGTCCATGTTCATACTTATACCTGCTATTTTGTACATGTTTGACAAACTAAATAAATAAAGTAAATAGATAAGTAAATAAATAAAATTTGTTGAGTGGGTGGCAATACTCTGGCTCTAACCATATTAAGCCAGCTTAGAAGATAAAAATACATTTCAGAATTAACTTGATAAGTTAGAGAAATGCATTGATAATGGTAGAATTCAATTTAATAAATGCATTTTTCCAAGCATAAGACAGGATATATCTGGCAGACTTTGCACGAGTACATCTGAAGAGAGTCGTTAAATTGTGCTGATATTAATTTGAATTAGGAGAAGGGAGAAGTAATGTATTTGAACTGGCTCATACATGTTATTAAATCTGAATTAGCGTTACATAAAGACATATCCATAATGCATTACCTGGACATATAATTCATATTTTTTCAGAATCTCTACAGGTAGTCCTCAACTTACAATAGTTTACAGTGACTGTTCAAAGTTATAGCAGCACTGAAAAAAGTGGCTTATGACCGTTTTCACATTTACAGCCATTGCATCATCTCCATGATCACATGATCAAAATTCAGACACTTGGGAACTGACTCAGATTTATGACCGTTACAGTGTCCCAGGCTCATGTGATCTTCTGACAAGCAAAGTCAATGGGAAAACCAGATTTACTTAACAACTGTGCTACTAATTTAACAACTGTAGTGATTTACTGAACAACTTGGCAAAAAAGGTTGTAAAATGAAGCAAAATTCACTTAACAAATGTTTCACTTAGCAACAAAAATTTTGGGCTCAACTGTAGTCGTAAATCGAGGATTACCTGTACTATTTATGTTAGGCACTGTTTCTGACTTATCTTTTACAGGTTTGATTCTATATTTCAGTCCTCATGTTCCCTTGTCCAAAGAACCTATTCCCTGGCTCTCATCCCAGATCTCCCAAACACCATCCCTGAATCAGTTCATTGTAGAAAATGTCTCTGGTCTCATTAAAGCTATCCTTTCAAAATAATTCACCTAAAGTGCCCCATTATGGTGACAGACGCTTAATTAAAGCTAGTTCTGGAAAGCAGAGAAGATAATGTGGAAGAATGAAAATCATTCTTCTGAATATCTAGTTCTTATTTTAAAGAGGTTTTGGCTTTTATTTACTAATATCAGTTAACAGTCAGGAAAAAAATATGCAGCATAATTTAGAAGCTTTGTTTTCCTTTCATTTTGTTGCTGTCAAAAGGCTCTGTGTGGTTTACCATAAATTGTTCCACTGGAGTCTGACTTTTCCTCTGAAATAAATATGAAATCAAATTCTTTATTGCAGGTCAGCCACCCTGCCTGTGTAAAACTGATTAAATAGATTCTACAAATTAGAGCTACAAGATAGAACATACAGATAGAATAAAGTGCACAAAATATATAGATCTACCATCATACCTGCACCATTTTGCTGTCAGCAATATATAAGTTTTACAAGCTGAAAAAACAAATGTTATAATGGTAGGGGTTACCTTGGGGTCCTTATCTGCTATTACAAATTACATAAAAATTATTCACTCCATTCCAGAAATAGAATTAGAAGAGTACCTTGTGTATGTCCCAAAAGAATTTACAGCATAATAGAATATGACAGTCTGTGTTTCAATATTATCATCATTACAAGGGCAAAGCCTTTCTGCTGAAGGAATCTAACAAAAAGTTTCCTCCATTTCTGCTGATAGTATAATATTGTACCATGGTAATGTAAATGCTTGCTGAAATTTATTGTTTTGAGTTGATCAGCGTATATTACTGCTTTAACATGTACATCAATGTGTTCCAATTGTACCCTAGAGGAGAGTTTATTATATTCCGATTGTAATTTTATATTAGAACAGAACAGAAGAACAGAGTTGGAAAGGACCTTGGAGGTTTTCTAGTCCAACCCCCTGCTCAGGGATCAAGGATCCTTTGCTTAAGAACCACCATTACCTGGTCCCAACAGGAAATATGCTATGAGAGACAATTCCTCAAGTGACCAGGCATTTATTTATTTATTTATTTATTTATTTATTTATTTATTTATTTATTTATTTATTTATTTA